GACATTGAGCCACAGAATTATATAAATGTGACAAGTAAATTTTCAAATGAGAGCTGACTAACTAGGGTCCTGCCTACTTTAAAGAGTGAAGCTGATATCATTGGAGTTGAGTTTGCAAGGTGTACTGTGAAAATCAAACATTGATCCTGTATTTTATATTTCTTTCCATTCTGTAATTGACTGTATTCTGTATTTTATATAACAACCTAAGCCTTTTCTTTGTCTCTGAGTGAAGAAGCTCATGAGTTCAGAAGTTCAGTCTTCCTCTCTCATAGAGGCCAAAAGTTTAGTCTCCTTATCGACTTGTAATTAAAGAAAAATTCTGAGCTAAGTTTAGAGGTTTGGTACTCTCATAAAACACTTTAATTCTAAGGGAATTGTTATCTCAGCACCACCTACAAATCACTTTGTGCCCAGGAAACTTGTTATCCCTCATAACTTCATCTCCTGAGAAACTCTCTGACATTTGTATTATTTTTGAGGGCCAGCATGCTGACCTAATCCCATCTTAGCCCATCCTGGCCAATTAAAAGGGGGTCTTATCTCATTCCCAGGAGCTGGTCCACTATCAATGGCGTCAGGATGCATCTGGATCCCATAAATCAATAAAACATTCCTCGAAGACAGAGAGGGGTGGTCTTGTCCCCACATGTCTATAAGGCCCCTTTCCTGATGTAACCAATCATAATGTCCTCACCCCCCACCCCCCGTGATGCTGTCAACCCTTTAACCAGTTATGTTATTTCCTCATTTACCCTGTTCTGTTCTTTGTTCTAATCATATAAAAAGGAGCTCCGTCTCCTCTTTAAAGTTTTTGGCTTAACTGAGGCACCCACTGACCCATTCTGTTAACAGGTTCAGGCCCTGCTAATAAACTTTCCATAATTTCCATAAGCCCTCATGACAGACAGTGTCAAAGGCCTTGGTTAGATCTACAAATGTTGTGTACTGTTCCTGGCATTTCTCCTGGAGTCGTTGGGCAGCAAATACTGTATACACCATTCCTTGGCCCTTTCTGAAGCCTCACTGGCTCTCAAATAGATGACCATCTTCCAGGTGAAGGACCAGCCTATTAAGGAGGACTCTGGTGAGAATCTTGCCAGCAGTAATTAAGAGAGATACCTCAGTAGATTGTCCTTTACCTTTATAGAGATGGACAATGGAGGCGTCCTTGAACTCCTGGGGGATAACTTCTTCTTGCCATATTACCTGGAACATTTCAGTCAGCTTTTGTATGAGCAGTGGACCCCGACCTTGTAAATCTCAGCTGGAATAGAATCAGAACCAGGTGCTTTGCCACAGGAAAGAAGCCTAATGGCATTCAAGACCTCTTCATTGCTCAGAGAAAATGTGCCTCTGTTTACCTTTGTGGAATTTCATTCTCAAAAGTATATAGACTTGGGCTGAGACATTGGTAATTGGAGGATGCTGACACCATCCCTAGAAGAGGATAGTTTCCTGTTTTCATTGGGAATGCTCAGGATGACCAGGGGACAGGGAGAGGGTGTGGCTTCAAGAATTCCATCGAATTGTGGAGGATGTGGCAGTCCTGACATTGTAAAACATATTGAAAGATAATGCATTTGCCCAGGAAAGAATGATAAAGCTACAGAATCTAATTTTCATTACCTTAACTACTAGATCAATGGCACAAATAGTAGAAAACTGAATTAAATCTCAAACAATTTGTATTTGGCTCCATTCTGTACCTTGTGGATGGATGGAAAGTTGTGAATTTGATGGATATTTAAAAAGTTTTTGTCTTGAGTCCATACCAACCCATAGAAAGTAGAAGTGGCTCTTCTCTCTCTACCCTCTCCTCCCTTGATGGTCTCTTTGGCTCATAAGGGTTCAGTTATCATCTCTACACAGATGCACACCCTTGAAGCACTGAAGTAAAATTAAGTGCACTTCTAAAAAGGTCATATTTCAAAGTGCCCCCTCATGAGACCTCTCTGGTGCTGCTGACCTTGATTGCCTTTGAGACACTAGGTAGAAGAAAGAGGAAATACACACTTATTAAGCACTTACTACATGCCAGCCACTGTGCTGAACACTTTTACAAATATCTCATTTGATCTTCACAACAACCTTGGGAGGTAGGTGCTGTTATTATCCCTATTTTACAGTTGAGGAAACTGAGGCAAATAGAGGATCACACAGCTAGTAGATATCTGAGGCTGGATTTGAACGTAGGTCTACCTGACTGGTGCTAGTACTCTGCCCACTGTGCCATCTAACTGCCTAACACTTGGACCTAGAGACTGGAAGACCTGACTTTGAATCCTGCCTTAGGCACTTAATTGGCTATGAGATTCTGGGCAAGTCACTGGATCTGTCTTAAGCCTCAGTTTTCTCACATGTAAAATAAGGACAGTAATTTATGTGAGGATCAAATCAGATCAAATGACATAATGTATGAAGAGTGTTTTGCAAACTTTAAATCACTATATCTCTATATATCTATATACACAAACATATTTATGTGTGTGTATGTATATATGTGCTAGTTATTTTATATATATGCTACTTCTAGTCCTGACCTGCTGGCTGGGAACTCTAGCTTGATAGAAAGGCTCATCAGATGCTTTATGGATTGTTAGAAACCAATTTGATATTTTAAAAATAAAAGAACCTGTCACTTTTTGTTTTTTCTTGTTTGCCTTTTGGATAACAACTTGACCATAGTACTGGAAGTTTTAATGACTTCCCCTTTACCTTCCAGTTTCCCCAAATATTCTTTTATTTCCAGGAGATGTCATGAGACCAGTTACTGACAGAGGGGTGCCTTTAATCTCTGTTAGCATTTATAGCTTTGTAAATATTTGTGGGATTTGAAGATTTCTACCATCTTGTGATTTGTTGCTGTGACAAACTTGTTCTTAAGTTGGGCCAACTGCAGCTGTTTCCTGTAAAAAACTAAAATTGTGAAAGCTGAGGTTTCACTTCCTAATAATCCATCAGCAATGCATTACGCACATTATTTCTTGTAGCACAGAAATATTATGTTACCTTCTTGTACCACAGTGATGTTTGTTTAACTATTCCCCAATTGATGGATGTCTTATCACCATGCTGCTCACTCTAGCTTTGATTGATACTGTCTCTCTCATCCTCTTCTCCTGTCTGAATGGAGGGCTGGAGGGTGGAGTACCAAACTCTTTCCAGTGCCTTCCTTTATACAGGGCAAAAACTAGACTCGGCTCCACATCTGCTGCTCTGCTTGGTGTCAACTCCTCAGAACTAGGTGCCCTCCACCAGTTACATCCTGGTCTGCTCCCTTCTCCTTACCCTCCTCCCACTTTCTTGCCTCCTTTTATGTGTTGTCGCCTCCCACATTAGATTATAAATTGCTTGAGGGCAAGAACTGGCTTTCTTTTTGTTAATTGTATCCTCAGTACTTGGTACAGTGCCTGGAACATGGTAAGTGCTTAATAAATGCTTATTGTTTCCATTTCTTACCTATCTCAAAAATGGTGCTATAAATACTTTGGTATATATGGGCACGTTTCTTCTTATCTATGACTTCTTTGGGTTATATAAGCCCAGTAATGGATTCTCTGATTCAGAGCGTATGGACATTTTAGTCATTTTACTTGAATAACTCCAAATTGCTTTCCAAAATAGTCATATCATTTCACAGCTCCACCAACCATGTATTAGTGTGCCTGTCCTTCCACAACCCCTCTAACGTCTTGGGGTCATTTTGCCAGTTTTCAGGGTGTGACAAGAAGCCTCCGGGATCTTTTGGTTTGTATTCCTTTTCATTGGGGCATTCTCTTCATTTGGCGCATTTGTTGTGCATACTTTGTGATTCATTTTTTGAGAACTGTTCGTTCATATTCTTTGACCACTTATCTATTGGGGAAATAAGTGTGTATATGTATATGCATATGTATATATATAAATATATATATAAATATATATACACACACATATAGAATACACACATACATATATATGTGTGTGTAAATGATGGGGCATTAGTATTGGACCCCTAAAAGGCCCTTGACTTTCCCACTTGGCCCAGGTCCCAGGTGTTAACCTGGGGCACCTGGCCCTTCCCAATTAATCCTTTCAACCTCCTTTTCCTCTTGGCCTTCAGTGTCTGCACCTGCCCCAGCCTGGATTGCCACTGCTTGATTCCATCTAGACCCCCTCTCTGTTAAGTCCAGGTCTGTTAACTCCCAGTCATCCCAGACTACTTGGCCACTCCTAGATCACATCCAGATCCTCCCACAGTCTGACTGTATAAAAGGTCCATCTTGCCTCCATTAAAGTGCTCAGGGTCCTTAAGAGTCTGGCCTGCTTGTCAATACAAGTGTTACAATAGCCCAGATTCTTAAAATCTGGCCAATAGTGCCACTCTCTCCCACCCCAACCAGCATTTTAATAAACCTCGTCTCTGACTGAAAGAAGGAATGGGTCAGATTCTTTTGAGGCAGGACCTGAGCTTTTGCCCTTAAATTTCAGGGTTCCTAGCAACCCTCGACCTAAAAATATATGTATATATGTTTATTCATTGTTGATGTATCTTGGATAACAAACCCTTATGAGAGAATTTGATATAAAGATTTGTTCGCACTCAGTCAATTCCCTTCTTATTCTAGGTACATTCGTTTTGTCTGCGTAGAAACATTTCAGCATCATGTTATCTTTTACTTCATCTATATCTGGTTTGCTTAAGAATCTATCTCCTACCCATAGGTGAGAAAGATATATGATCTGCTTCTCTTCTATTTTTGAAGTATTTTTAAAGTGATGTGATCTTTAAAGGGGGAGCTAGGTGACACAGTGGATAGAGCACTGGGCTTAGAGTTCAAATTTGGCCTCAGACACTTAGTAGCAGTGTGACACTAAGCAAGTCATTTCACCTCTATTTGCCCTAGTTTCTCAACTGTAAAATGAGGACATACTGGAGAAGGAAGTGGAACCCCTCCAGTATCTTTGCCAAGAAAATTCCAAATGGGGTCATAAAGAGTTGGACATGACTGAAACCATTGAACAGCAACAATGATCTTTACTATTAAGGTCTCATCCATTTAGAATGTATTGTGCAAGACCCCAGGAAATGTGACCAAGAGCAGGAGTTCACAGAAAAAGCTAACAGGCCAATCCTTCCAGCTCTTCCTTGGAAGCAACCTTGATGTGACAAATTGCTTGTGCAGTGAATGGGAGAAATGTGAGGAGTGGGACAGAGGCAGCCCTTTTCTCTTCCCATTAGGGAAGTGGGAGAAAATTGAGCTTTTTCATGTAAATAAGAACCTCTATCCCAGGTAAAGGCAATCCTAGCATCACTGAATCTCAGAGCTGAAATGGACTTCAGAAGTCTTGGCCAATGTGGACCTAAACAGAAATCAGCTTTAGTGGGATAAATGTTCAAAAAGCTTATTCTCTAGCTGTTGCCTTTCTTTAAGTAAGGCACAAAGGCAGATTTTTCTACCTATAGGGAAATGGAGAAGGATTTGAGTTCCTCCATACAAACTCGGAAGCTGGAGGGAGGCGCAGGGAGTGGCACAGATGTGGAGGAGAGTGGCAGGGAGAGAGGGGGAGCCAAGCAGCCCACTCAGGGGGAGCCTGAGTCATCCTCTGGAGGTGAGCTTTCCTGGGGGGGATCTGGGAAGTGTGCCTCTTTCTCTTCTTCTTGAGCAGGGAGAGTTTCCATTTCTTCCTCATCCTTTGGTTGGGAGGGCTCCACAGTTAGCTGGACTACCTGCTCCTTCCTTTCTTCTGCAGATAGGAGAAGCACACCCTGCGACAGAAAGCCAGATTACTTTTCTTGTCCTTTAACCCTCAGCACTTCCTAGTTCTTTGTCATGTCCGTAGTTTCTACATCTTTAATTTAATGGATTATAGGACCATAGATTTAGAGCAAAAAGAGAGTAAAGGGGCCATTAAGTTTAATCCCCTCATTTTACAGAGGAGGAAACTGAGACCCAGAGAGGGTAGGTGACTTAGCATAGTAAGTGGCACACCTTTGTTAGTTCTTCTTACACTGTCCATGACTGTGTCCTGTTATCCTACAGGGCCAGGCCTGTTCCTTGTGCCCATCTTTCTGAACATGCATAAAGTCAAGCTATACCGAAAGTTATCGGGCAAGTGCCGGATTCACTGATTCATTGACTCTGGGAAGGAGCAGGCATCTCAGAGGTGATTTAGTCCAGTGAGGACTTGAACAATAATCCCCTTTCCAGAATTTGGTGAAATGGAAGGGGCTCAGAACTGGGCATCAGGAGACCTGCACTTTCATCTCTCTGCTGCTCGTAATTTGCTCTGTGACTTTGGGCAAACTATTTCTTAGCCTCGACCTGTCATGTCTGAAATGAAGGCTCAAAGGAAACCAGCCCCAAAGCACTCTTTTTAAATGGCCTACTCCATGATATGGGCATGAAGCAGAACAGAATTTTAAAAAACGATGCATTTATTATGTACCTACTGTGTGTATAGCATTGTGCTAGGAGGTAGAAGGTTTAGATAGGACACAGTCCTTACCTTCACTTTAGTAGAATTCAGCATATATGTTTTTTTAATTTAAATCTTATCTTCTTGTCTCAACACTTTTTCCGTCATCTGTCATTTCTGTCATCTGCTGTTCATCTCCTTGTATCCCTTAACTCCATAGAAGGCCATAGTGTCCTTTCACCCTTTCAGAAAACCTTTAGGAGGTTGTGTTGAGGGGAAAGGGTACAGGGAGCTTTAGGCATACAGGATTCGTCCTCTTCTGTGTAATTATTGGCATAGTTAATTCTAGATTAGGAGTTTCAAGGGATTTTAGAGATCATTAGGGTTCAGTCCACTCATTTTACAAAGGAGGAAACTGAAGCCAGGGTGTGCACAGTAAGTGCTTAAATGCTTGCTGATGTAATTGACAAACCCAGAGAAATGTAAATAACATTACTGAGGTAGCAGACTCAGGATTTGAACCCAGGCTTCTGACTCCACTATCTTGGGTGTGGCAGGGGGAAGTAAGTAGGGGTAAGTGAGTTTGGGTGGGGTGGGAGTGTAAGTGGGGCTTTTCTTAGAAGGAATCATCATTTGTCAAATTTGTTTTTGTTTATGAGGCATTGGGTGTAAGCTCAAGTTGATTGCTAATTAAACTAAGTATCTGGTGTTATAGCTAAGACAGATTGAAGCTAATGCTCCCTGGTATCAAGTCAATGTTTATATTGTAAGGTTATGCTACTGCATGTTTGGGGAGAAAGAATGGTGGGAAAGTGTAATTCGACAGGATAAATCTATTCATATGGAAAGGATTGCTGTCAGCGTAGAGAATGGCAGTCAGTCAGGTCATGGAATCAGGCATGAGGGTCCCAGCAGCCAGCGTACAATACAGAATCATTCTGGTTGTTTCCTAGCCTGTCTTCCTCTAAAGACATTTTGGGACGATCCTTTTTTTTAAAGGCCATATGCAAGAATTAGTTGACTGGGGCTTAGGCTGCTGACATTACTTCTTGGTTTCCTGGGTACAAAGCAGCCATGTATAGTTCCAGGCACTCTTTGTGATGCTTGACTGATGGACCACTATGGGCAACTCAGGCAAGGGTGCTTTGTTCACCTGTATCAACTTAGTATATCCTTAATGCCATATCCTTATTGAGTATCCTTCTCCTGCTGTGGCTAAGTGAATTTCTCCTTTTTGTTAACTGTTGAATGTTTCATTTTGTACCAGTATTGATCATAAACTACCAAAGGATAAGTCTGAGTCAGGCCTAGCCTTGATAGAGGAAGACCATGAATGGATCATGGTTCTGTAGCTAATAGGTCATGAAATCTTTGGGGTCAGGGCAATACTCACTGTTTGGGTACCAGAGCAGAGAGTTTTCCATTCATCCTCTGCAATGCACGCTACCAGGAGGTTCTGGAGAAAAGTGAAAATCAGCATGATGGCCAAAATTCCCTATAGAATGTCCAGAGAAGGAAGAGTGAGAAAATAATTGGATTTGAGTTTAAGGAGACCTCATAAATCGATCATTTAGACTAGAGCCTAGGTCAGAATCAGAGATAGAATCTTAGAGGCCATCCAATCCAACCCCTATATTTTACAGATGAGGAAACTGAGGCCCAGTTTCAATTAAAAAATGGTAGATATATCATAAGATTGGAAAACAATGTTCCAGTTTTCAAGAGAAAAAACAAGAGGAGAATCTTCAAACTTCAGGCCAGTGAGCTTACCTTAAGTCTGGGGAAAATTCTAGAATGAACCATTAAAGAGGTAGGATGTCTAGAGAGGGAAATGATAATTACAAAGAGCGGGTGTTGCTTCATCAAGAATAGGTCATGTAGGGCTAACCTAATTTCCTTTTTTTGGACAGGATTACTGAACTAACCCATGAATAATGATTCAGCTTACCTGGATTTTAGCATAGCTTTTGATAAAGTATCTCTTGCTATTTTTGTGGAGAAGATGGAAAACTAGGGATTAGATGAAAAAAATTAGATGGATTTAGAACTGGTTAGATGGTTGGACTCAAAGAGTGATTGTTAATGGCTCAATATCAATGTGGCTTTAGGTCTGCAGTGGAGAGCTCAGGGGATCTGTGCTGTTTAACATCTTTATCAGTCACTTGGATAAAGACCCAGATGGCACGCTTGCTAAATTTGCAGATTACATCTAATTTGAAGAGGTAAGTATCATACTGTAGGACAGATTAATAATCCAAAAGGATCATGACAATTCAGAGCATTGGGTAGAACCTAGGAAGATGGAATCCAGTAGGGATAAGAGTAAAGCATTGTACTTGAGCACAAAAAAAATCAATTTTTTTTGTGCAAATAAAGTACAAGACGAGTCAGTATGCATTTTAAGTACCTACTATGTTCCAGCCCCTGTGCTAAGTGTTGGGAATACAAAGAAAGGCAAAAAACTGGCTATATCCTAGAGGAGCTTCCAGTCTAATGATTGTGATGGGGGGTGGCGGGGGGGGGGAGAGATGGGTAGACAGTAGTTGTTTGGAAAAAGACTTGAAGGTTTTCGTGTACTGAAAGCACAGCGTGAATCAGCAGAGTGGAGTGGCAGCCCAAAAAGCTAACATGATCTTGGGCTGCATTAAGAGATGCAGAGCTACCAGGAAGAGCCCGTGGCCTGCCTTTACCTGATCTCATCTGGAACGTTTGTCTAGTTCGGGATGTTACAGCTCAAGAAGACCATTGAAGTGTTTGAGAGTATCCAGAGGAAAGCCAGGCTAGGAAGGGCTTTGAGTCCATATCATATAAAGATTGGTTGAAGGTACTAGGGGTGTTTAGCCTGGAGAAGATCAGACTCAGGTGGGACATGAGACGTCTTTTTGAGGATTTGAAAGGTTATCATTGGTTGGAGAGATTTGACTTGTTCTCTTTGGCTCCATAGGACAAAGCCAGGAGCAATGGGTAGAGATTTGCAAAGTGGCTAATTTAGGGTAGATGTTGGCAAACCTTAACAATGAGGACTGCCCAAAGTGGATGGGCAGCCTTAGGAAACAGTGGGATCCCCTTCTCAGAGGCCTTCATGTAGAAGCTAGATGACCACTTGTTTTTGTTGTAGTGGGATTGGTGTTTGTCCTTTGTTGTCGAAGAGATCCGTGACGTCAGGAAGGTGATGCCATGACTTGCAAGTGAATTGGATTTAAGTGAGGGAGGGCTGTGCATAGTCGCCAGCCTCATTTTCACCTCTGTAACCATCTGGGTCCAGTGGCCAGATGTAGATCAGGACAACTTTGTAGTGGGAACTGTTTTCGCATGTAGACTGCATCATATATGTACTACTGCTGAAGTCCCTTCTAATTCAGTGAGTCTGTGAAAGGTAAGACAACTTGCCCCAAATCCCATAGCTAGTGAATGTCAGAATTAAGAGTGGGGCCCATGACTTTTTGTGCCAAATCCTGTGGTCTTTTCATTGCATGATGTCTCCTGGTTCACAGGCACCTAAAGGTGCTGAATGGGTGAGATAGATTGTAGGATCCAGTCTGTGTCTATATCTGTATTTGAATCTCTATATCTGTATCTATTTGCACCTGTCTATATCTATAGAGTGAGTCTTTGAAAAGATGTATGGCTGAGGGGAGAGCCGGTGTGTTATTGAATGTGTGGAAAGAGCATTGGACATAGAGTCAGGAGAGACCTCAGCTATGACACTTAGGAGCTGTGTGACCCCAAGAAGCCTCTTGATTGCTTTGAGATTCATTTTCCTCATCTGAAATGGGCAAAGTAATAATTATACTGTTCACCCTTGTAGATGAGAAAAAGCTAGAGAAACGGGGCCTGGAATTATTGAAGTATTATCAACTTCCCACTGACAGGGAAATAAATGGCTCACTCATCATCTAATATCTCACTTTTGGAACACTCCCTGAGACAGAGAGCTTCATGTGCAACCGTGATGCATTTTCATGGAATTCATGAAAGAGAAATAGAATGCCTTTCTCTTCAGTCACACAGTCCCCACTCAAATGCAACCTGCAGCGAAAGCCTCCTGCTTCACCTCCCTGCTGCTAGCTCCTCCCCTCTCTAATCTAGCCTCTACCCAGCTGCCAAATTGATTCCCACAGAGCAGAGGTATGAGCCAGGTACTGCTTTGCTCAAAGAGCTTCAGTGAGCCCCTGTTGTCTCCAGGATACAATGGGAACTCCTTGCCAATCTGGCTCCTGCCTGTCTCTCCGGGGTTACTTTGTATTATTCCCCATCATGTTCCACTCTAGCTGGAATCCTTGCGGTTCCTTATATATAGCATTCTACTCCCACCTCTTCCATCTTCCCTCTCCCATGTCTGGAGGGCCTTCCTGCCTCACTTTGGCTCTCTTAAAATCCCAGTCTCCCTTCAGGGCCACGTCTTTTCCTAGTTGCCCAGGTTACTAGTGCTCTTATCACCACCACTGAAATTACTTTGTCTCTATTTTGTCTGGATGTTACATTTACTTATCTGTGTGCATCCTATGTTGCCTGTCCCCCCACTTTTCACATCCTCCTTTGAATGTAAGCTTCCTGAGGGCAGGGACTGTTTTTGTGTTTCTTTGTTTCTATATCTTTATCCCAGTGTGTCTGCACATAGTAGTTGAATTAAGGCCCAGGAGGAACTTACCAAGAAGAGAGGCTTCACAGTGAGACAGTACTGCTGCATGTCAGTGCTTTGCCCAGGTGGGTCATTTTGCTCACAGCTGAATATGTTGACATTTAGTTTGGCCGTTTGAACAAGATTCAGACTTGGCAGTTTTAGAAAATGAGAAACAGTGAGATTAAATATGTCCATGATTAGAAGAATCATCCCGGAGATGGAAGAGAACAGGCTTATTGCATTCATTCCTAGCCTCGTGTTGACCTGGAATAGAGACATAATGGGTCATGCTTGTTTTTGGCTCTTTATTGCTCCTGGACTAGTAGAATCTGATGATTGGATGGTACATTCACAAGTTGTTGATTCTTGTCTCTGCCTGAAGGGAAGCCATGTTTAAACTCCTCCCTTTGGCATTCAAGGTCCTCTGCAACTTGCCATCATCCTACCTTTCCATTCTTAACTACTATTACACCTTTCTACCTGTGTTAGTCTCCAGTTACACTACACTGCCCTTCTCAACACAGACACATCTTGAATTCTTCATCTTTTCTCAGTTTGTTCCCAGTGCCCAGAACGTCCTTCTGTCCCCTTCTCCCTTGTTGAATTTCACCTGTCCTCTAAACCAACTTAAATGTCATCTCTTCCTGAAAGCTCTCCTTGGTTTCCCCTAGAAACTAACAGCTTGTTCCCATTAGACTTCATATAACATTTTGTCCCATGTCTCTGATACGCTTATCATGTAACATCATGTGTATTTTAGTTATTGCTGAGAGGCAGTGTGGTATAATAGTTAGAGAGTTGGCCTTGGCATTGGGAAGCCCTAGGTTCAAATCCTGACTCTCGTACATAAATGGACAAATCATAGAACCTTTCAGTGCCGCAGGTAACTCTCTAAGGCCATAAATTACCAATGAGTGGCTGGTCTGCATTGTTGGAAAGATTTTCTACATTGGCAGATTTTCCTACAAATGAAAGCATAGATGCCACCTCTACCTTTAAAAGGAATAGAAAAGAAAAAGTCATTTGTATTGGGATCTGGTCCCATACTAGATTGTGAGCTGCTTGAGGGTAGGCATTTACATAAAGTAGGTTTTTAATATTTTATTGTTGTATTCAGTAACACCTGCATTTCAAGTTTGCATAGGAAGACTCCTCACCCAGTTGCTTGGCAGATGAATGCATGGCTCTAAGTAGAATAGTCATAATTTCCTTAAAGGTGGGGCCCATCTCTTATTTCTGCTTTATATCCCGTTGCTGAGCAGGTGCTGGGGCTTAGGGATATGTGTTTATTGGATTAAATTGAATTGAAGGAAGCACTTCCTCCACCTTGAGGTGGCAAACACAGGTCGGGGCGGGAGTGAGTAGAGAGGCAGAAGGTGGCATTCCAAGTATGTAGCATTGCACGGAAGCCAGAAAGAGAAGGGATCATATTTGAATTGCCTACTTCATGGGGCTATTATTTATCTTAAAGTGCTGTGTAAATGAGATGTATTACTAATATTGTTATTAATTGCTAGCATTTATACACATTTTCAAGGTTTGTAAAGCATTTTATGTGTGTTTTATTATTTTGATTCTTACAACAATCTTGGGAGATATCCTCATTTTACTGATAAGAAGCTGAGGCTGAAGGAGGGGGTAAGTGACTTGCCCAGGATCCCACAGCTGGTAAATGTCTGTGAAGGGATATGAATTCAGGTCTTCCAGTACTCTATCCACTGTGCTATCTTGTTGCTTTAATATTATTATCAGACCAGAAGAGTCAGAAAAAAAGCGATTGTGTTACATGGCACAAGATAACAATCACATAAAATGGGTGGCATCTCAGAGAGCAGCTGGCATCTATCTCACGGAACTGTTAGGAGGATGATGACAGAAGATAAAAAGCACCTTGAGAAAACTCAGAGGTGCTATCCACGCAGAAGGGACTAATCTCAGCACAGAACTATCTGGCCACTGGGGCAGATAAATGATGGCGGCCACCTTATGGGGAGTGAGGCTTTTGGGGATGGGCAGAGAGGGTGGTTTGTTTTTATAAAGGCTAGAATATATTTCTGTCACATTCTTCGACATTTACAGTTGTTAATTAGTTGGTTGATTGATTTTGCAATGTAGAGTTTTCTCAGTCCCATCTTTCATGACACCTGTGTACTCTAGTGTGCAAAGGTTCTGGCTCACCTAAGTGGAGGAAGCACTGGGTCAATGAAATCCCAAGTCTTTTGAAGTGGCCTGTAAGAAGAGCTTCCCAGACCTCTGTGGCTCTCTGTGAGGCCATTAGGTGCTTTGTTCCTGGGTACCACAGTCCTTATGACCCATTTAGCTAGAATGAAGCAATCAGCATTTATTAAGTGCCTACTGTGTGCATGTTGGGGACACAAATACCATGAATGAGAGAAATAATCCCTATACCCCAGGAGCTTAATCAGGGAAAATAGGAAGCTACTAGAAATCTGCTTCCCCTTCCAGTGAAGCTTGCCCTGGGTAGGCTTGTTGCCCCAGTTACCAGGTTTCCTAGTTGCATATCTGCAGGTGGGGGCCATTTCTACTTGCCCTACTCTTTCATCCTCTCTAGAAGGCAGTCCAGAGGAGGGGAAAGGGCAGGGTTTTCCCATTTCTTATTTAGAAGACAAGCTAGCAATTTCCAGACTCTAAGACAAAGATGCTTAACCATTTTTGGGTGTCCTCAATGTCTGGCAGGCAGTCTGGTAAAGACCATGGATCCTTTCTTAGAAAAATGGTTTTCATTGCATCAAATTACCAAGGAAACCAATTATATTGAAGTACAGTGATCAGTGTATTTAAAAAAAAAGTATACAGACCAAAGGTTAAGAACTCCTGCTAAGAAGAGACTCATACTGTGTTTCTTTTTCTTTTTTTTTTTAAGGCAACTGAGGTTAAGTGACTTGCCCAGGGTCACACAGCTAGTAAGTATCAAGTATTTGGTCTGAGGCTGGATTTGAACTCAGGTCCTCCTGACTTCAGGGCCGGTGCTCTATCTACTGCACTACCTAGCTGCCCCTCATACTGTGTTTCCCAGGCAGTTCTCCTGGCCCCACCACCTTAGCTTGTTATTCCAGAAATGCAGTACTTACTTTGGGAAGCTTCTTGATCGCACTGGGGTTTGCTCGTTAGGGACTATCTTAGCGATTCTAATGCCCTAAATAAGGCCGCTCTCAGAATATCCAGCAGTATCATTCCATTCCACTGTTTATGCCCTGAGGAATCTGGTTCATACAAATTATATAACTGCCACCAAATTATCAACAGCTAGCCCTTGGAGATTCTCTCTCAATTCCTAAGCCTTCCGAAGAGAGGGAAAATCTGTTACTTGCCAGGCAACTTCTGGAAGTTTTCTCAGCTGCCACCAAGAATGATCCCGAGGTGATGTACTGTGATTGGAAAAAAAGAGGCCATGATTATTCACCATCTTTTCAGAAAGCAGTCCACAGTCGTCTATACACATACTAAAGCCGGATGGATCCATGGGGTGAGGACAGGGGAGGAGTCAAGGCAGACACCAAAGGTGCCATAAAGCCTTGCATCTGGACTGTTTTGATTCCTACATCTTCCCCACTTCCCTGCCCCCCCCATTTAATTTTTTCCATTCCCTATTTCTTGGAAGATCAAGTATAAACTTCTCTATTTGGCGTGCAAACCCCTTCAAAACCTGGCCTCAGTCTACCTTTCCAGCCTTATTACATATTCTTTCCTTTCACATATTCTGTGGCAGAGTGTCAGACTCAGGTTTGTAGGCAGCCCAAACCAGATTAAAATCTAATTGGAAAGTATTTAAGAAAATAAACAAAAATACCAAACAACATCGATAATATTAATTTATGGTTTTCGAAGTGATCATGCAGCTGCAGGGATCCATTTCTATTTGAGTTTTACCCCACTGCTAGGCAGCACAGTGCACAGAGTGCCAGGCCTGGAATCAGGAAGACTTATCTTCAAATCCTGCACTTATTAGCTGTGTGACTTTGGTCAAGTCACTTCACCCTGTCTGCCTCAGTTTCCTCATCTGTCAGATGAGCTGGGAAAGGAAATGGCAAATCACTCCAGTATGTTTGACAAGAAAACCCCGATGGGTTCACAAAGAGTTGGACACAACTGAAATTCCTCAGCAACAACAATTTAGCTTGGTTGCTGGCGTGGTAGTAGGAACTTAATAAGTGATTTCACGGTGTCTGGCACACAGTAGGTGCCAAATAAACACTTGCTGATTTGAGTTAGGAAGGTAACTAGGAGAGAGCATTGCCACAGATGCTAAGAGATATCAGTACCTAGGGGGTGATGGTCAGCAGAGTCCAAATATGCAGAGAGGTGAAGGAGAATAGTAGGGGGGAAGGCCAGTGTTTTGAACTGCTGTAACCTTTGGGAACACCGTCAGAATCCACACTATAAGAGCCTGAGAAATGAATGAGCTCCGGGGAGGTGGAGGCAGTGAAGGGAGGTTGGGCCGTACTTTGTCTGTTTGTGTCCTTGCCAGTTTCCTTTCGTCATCTTCCTCTCTTCAAAATGGGTCATAATGGTTGTCAGGGATGTTATAGAGGGCATTCATGGTCAGGAGAGGGTAGACTAGATGTCTCTGAAGTTCCGTCCAGTGCCAATTCTAAAATTCTGTAATTAATGGAGGCCTACCGTCTTTGTTTTCATGCATTTTTAACGAACAGGCCGGCCTGATGTTGTTGTTATTGTTACTGTTTATTGTTTTAGTCATAGCAGCCTCTTTCCTGTCTGGACTTTTCTCTCTGAATTGTAGATTCAATCAGGTGAATTCTCATGGTAATATCCAGAGCTATGTCTCCATCACCCAATGACCTTTATTATTATTATCATTACTTACGATAATGCCTCCCCAGAAAGGGTACCACACTGCCACACAGATGGCGGCATATGTGCCCACGGGCACCATCAGCAGAATCCCCCCCAGTCCAAAGTGGAACAGGCCAATCATGATCTGGACAGCCTACAGTGTGAGAGAATGAGGTGATGAAAAGGGAACAAAAGTGGTACCCATCCATCCATTCATTCATTCATTCATTCATTCATTCATTCATTCATTTGGCATTCACAAACCATCTATTAAGAAGTGCCTACTGTGTGCAAGAGAGGCAGCATAGCCTACTGGATAGCCTTGAAACTAAGAAGCCCTGGTTTCAAGTCTCACCCCTGACACATACTGGCTGTGGGGTCCTGAGCTAGTCGCTTACTTCTTAGTCCTTCAGGCAGCTCTTTAGGACTGAACATTGCAGAGGGTTTGTTGCCTGGTATTAGGAAGTTTCCTTATCTGGAAATTCTCACGGGGCAGCAGGGATGCAGAGCTCAGTTCCCCCAGCTAGAGGAGACACAGAGTTTAGCTAAGGTAAGGTCCCTGGCCTCAGGAAACTGACTGTCTGGGGAGAGATCATTCCTTCTCTATTTATTCTGTATCGACTTAAATGTGCCCTTGTCACCCCTACCTGAATGTGTGTTCCTTGGGAGAAGAGGTTGTCTTTCCCTGGATGTGCCTGGCTCAGTGCCTGGTACAAAGCAGGTACTCGATAAAGGCTTGTTAATTCATTGGTTGATGGATCAGAGAATCATAGATTTAGATCAGGAAACAGCCATAGACGTAATCTTGTCCACCTCTCCCTGGTTTTAGAGATGAGGAGACTGAGGCCCAGAGACTTCAAGTGACAGGCAGTAGAGTTTTGGACAGGACAAAAGCATGAGTAACTGTGATTATGTGTATTTAAATCATGCCTTTATTAGAGTCTTACAAATTAAGGTCTGAGGTTTAAGCATCGTTCAAGAAATATTTATGCATTAGTGCATACGATGCATAAGGCCCTGGGTTACCTGCAAAAACAAGGGAGTGGTTCCTGACTGGGACAATCATGGCAGGCTTCCTGCTAGAGGTGATTCTTGAGTGAGGCTTAGCAAAGGAAGCATTAGCCACCTATAGGTGTCAGGACCTTGCCAGGCTTGAGCAGCTGTAGAGTAGGGCTACCAGAAGAATGGAGCAGTTATTAAGCACCTGCAGTTTTATGTGCAGGTCACTGCTGCTGTGGCCAATGAGGATCATTTAAGTTCAGTTCCACAGACATTTATTAGTTGAAGGAACTGGGAGTCTTTAGATGAGAAGGGAGAATACTCAGGGGGCACAAAATAGCCATCTTTCAAGTCTTTGAAGAAGAGGAATGAGACTTGGTCTGCTTGGCCCCTGAGGGCAGAACCAGGAACAAATGAGAAGAAGGTACAGAGAGGCAGATTTCAGTTTGACATAAGGAAAACTTCATCATAATCAGAGCTGTCCCAAATTGAATGTGGTCCATGAATAGGACACTCTCAACTCAGACACAGGAAGACCTGTATTCACATCCCAGCTCAAACACTTACTGGCTGTGGGAGCTTGGGCCAGCCTCTTAAATTTCCCGTGCCTCAGTTTCCTCCTCTGTAAAAAGAGTGTTGGCAGTATGGCAGAGGGCATTCTTGGGCAGGCACTGGTTGTCCTAAATGGACTCTAAGGTCCCTTCTGGACTCCTGTGGCTTAGAGTTCTTATTAAAAAAACAAACAAAAACAAACTAAAAAACCTCTTTCCTGGTTATCAGTCTGGTGGAACATACAACCTGCATTGATATGGGGTGAAGGTGTGAGGGGGCCATCATCTCCTGCCCTTGTGGCCCAGAGGAGGGGCTTCTACGCTGCCTCTCTGACAACACCTAAAAGATATGAGCCTTGATGGTCATGCTTTGCCTGAGAAAATGGCTGCATTTTTAGAGGGAGTGCACAGACTTACCCCAAGAGCTTTGGATTCTCTCCTGAAGAAACTTTGCAAGGTGGGACTTTGTAACAGGGACCCTCTCCTGAGGACCGTCTTTTGGCCTGGCTGTGTGGTGCTGGGGCCCTTTATGGAATCAGCCGGGAAAGTTCCGTTGACTGAATTTCTTGGGGTCGTCATTTTGTTCTCAGAGGTCCTGTAAGAAGGAGTGAGACGAGTTGAAGGAGCTTCAGCTTTGGATGGTGCTCTGGGTCCTCTGTCTCATGTGCAGATCCTCCGTGCCACCCGCTAGCCACTCGTTGCTGTCCTCCCTAACCCTTCCCTCCTGCCTGCCATTCTGGCTGTGGCTCCCTCTAGGCTGAAGACCATCTGAGGGCAGGACTGGCCACTAAACATGCATCAGCAGAGTGAGAGGTGGTAGGTTCAAATCTCACTCGTTGATGCTCTTCACTTCAGTAAAATGTTGACCTCTGAAGTTCCTTCTGCCTCGGGCTCTGTGGTCCTCCAAAGGGACAGGAACAGTGCACCCATCAAAGGGAGGTGACCGCTCAGAACCATAGACTCTTAGAGGTACAGCTGGAAGGGACCTCAGAAGCCTCTAGTCAGTCAGTTCGTGGGCGATTATTAAGTGCCTAATGTGTGGCAAGCACTGGGGATACGAAAAGAGGCCTTCAGGAGCTCACGGCCACATTTTATAGATCAGGCTGTTGAGGCCCAGGGAGGGAAAGGGACTCGCCAGTTTGCGCATAAGTATCACAGGTAGGGCTTGAAGCCAGGCGCCCTGACTAGAGTCTGTGAAGGGAAAACAGCTTCTCTGAAGCCCTCTGCTGTGTCTTCTCTTGGGCCTGGCTTTTCTTGATTCAGTTTCCTCTGCCTGAACTGATGGTACCTTGATTATCTCTTCCTGAAATACTGCTCATCAAGTTTATTTATCTCATCCTAAATAAAATCAGTGGGACAGCTAGGTGGCACAATGGATAGAGTGCTGGGCCCAGAGTTGGGAACACCTGAGTTCAAATTTGGCGCAGACACTCACTAGCTGTGTGACCCTGTGCAAATCACTTGACCCTGTTTGCCTCAGTTTCCTCATCTCTAAAACAAGCTAGAGAAGGAAATGATAAACCATTCCAGTATCTTTGCCAAGAAAACACCAAATGAGGTCATGAAGAGTCAGACATAAGTAAAAACGACTGAACAACAACAAAAATAAAATCAAAGTTCTTATTGTAGCTCCAGGGCAGCTCCCTCAGCTGTCTGCTGGATGGAGGAGAAAAATGCCTTCCTAATTAGAGCTGTGTGCACATGGAATGTGCTGTTTTGTAAGGTAGTGAGTTCTTCAGTGGAAGTATTCAAGTGAAAGGTGAGTAATCCCTTGTTCAGAGGTGTCATAGAGGGGATTTTTGTTCGGTTTGGGGTTGGGCCAGATGATCTTTGAAGTCTTCGGCTGAGATTCTGCCCTTCCATTATGTGACCTGCAACTTCTCTCATCTCATATATTCTCTCTGAATCTGCCTGCTCAGGATTGGTTCTCAGGGCATGTCATTTCAGGGTTCTGCCTCATCCTTCGCATGTGGGGAGACCACCTAATATCTGGAGGGAGGCTGGGGAATGAAATGTGCATGGAAGGCAGCCCAAGTGAAGCTGCAGCCCCAGAAACCTCCCCCTTCCCCTTCTTATACTCAGATACCCTTAGATTGGCCAGTATGGAATGGTATGTCTGGGGGAAGGACCTTCCCAGGGTGCTTATTTAGCCTCCCTCAGTTTCCTTTCAGCATTCTCTTAATGTCACCAGAAAAGAAAACACCAGAGAAAGGGTTTTAAAAACTGCTCCTGTCATTCACTAGCTGGGCAAGTCTCTTCATCTCTATCAGCTTTGATTTCCTCCAGAGAGCCCCAGCTCCATTTTATAAACTAGCAGATCGCTTCTGCCCAGTGACATGGTTGTATCAGTATGACTTTTTTTTTAATGCTAAAAAATTGTGCTTCCTAAAGTGAACCTTTATTCCAGGGGTTCCTAACTTGAGGTCTGCAGACTTCTAAGGTATCCATGGATAAATTCATGAGGACCATAAACTTGGATGGAAAATAATGACATCTTTATTTTTAGTAACCTCTCACTGAAGGTTTGCATTTCTTTCAGTTATGATCTTAAAAAACTCATTATTCTGAGAAAGGATCCATATGCTTCCCCATAATCCCGAAGGGAACCATGGCCCCCAAAAGGTGAAGAACCTATGCTTTATATCGAGCCCTTTTAAGGAAAGCACAAAAAGCCAAGCCACATGCTTCCAGCAAAACAGCGGGACAAAGTCCTGTGGAGCGGGGATTGTGGGTAAAAACAGGGCCGTAGGAGCAGACGAGCGCAGCACTCCAAGGTCGCCCAGGCAGCCCGCTCTTCTAAGGAGGGATGGCATGTGTCCACATGCAGCAAATGGAGGCTGCTGGATTTGAGCCCATGGCCTCAGTTTACAGGCCCGTGCTGTGTGGTTGGTTCCATCCCCCCAGGCTACGAAGGCACCTGCTCCAAGCCTTAGGTGCTTTCCTATTCTTGTGAGAAGCAAATGAGATGATGAATGGAAAGGGCTGTGTTGTAGGCAGGGCAGCTATCCAGAGCGCCCCCTCCTGATCGGCAGAGGACAGTGAGGCCTCACACCTTATCGCGCTTAATGAATGCCTGTTGAGTGAATGAACGTGGGAGGAGGCCGACCCCTCCATATACACGGCTCCTCCCTCGATCCCCCCTGCTCTGGGTATTCAATAGAAATAAGCTACACAACGCCCGATAAGTATTGTTGGTGGGATGGTCGGAGCTACCAGGACAACTTGCCCCGTGTGGAATTATATCACACAGATCTAGTATCTTTGTGCTGAGAGGTAGATGCATTTCCGCAGCAGGCAGGCCCTAATAGTCTGATGTCAGGCTACAAGAGGTGCCTGTTCCATAGCTCCCTCTGTCGCTATCCCTTTAATTTCCCTTGGGGTGGTCCTGCTCTGTTCTTGGCCTAAATAGGGAAGGCTTGCCATCTTACAGAAGGTGATGTTTGTGGCTATGCTAGGTGGTCGCTTTGTGAGAACAGTGGGGGTGCAGTGGGCCTGACTTCAAGTCTGCTCTGTGTAACCTTATGCAGGTCACTTCCTTGTGTGTAAAACCAAGATGTTGGACCAGATGACCTGGGGGATCCTTAACATCCCTGACATTTTTACAACCAAGCCTAGTGCTGGTGCCCTCCCTCTTGAAAGAGCTCCACCCTGTTCCACCTCAGGCAGAGCCTGGCTTCTGTTTTCCAAGGAGGATCTTCCTCTGTTAATCCTCATTAAGAGGTGAACAGTCAAACTTTACTCCTGTGGAGAGTAACATTTTAATGGAACCCCAAACCTCCCTAGGCATCAGATTCATCCGTCAAGTGAAGGAGTTGAACTGAGCCCCTTCCAGTTCTACGGTTATAATCCTGTGATACTATGAAATGATATTAGAAGAATAACACATTTGGGGGCTGGGGCCTTCCCTTTGTCACACTAAAATTCACATAGCCCTATGAAGTCTCTTTGATCTAAGACAAGATTGAAGGAAATAATAACAGTTTATATTTATATAGTGCTCTGTTTGGTATTCTAAGACCTCCATAGCCTGGTCCCCTCCTCCCTTTCTAGTCTTCTTACACTTCACTCTTCTTGTGTTCTCTTTGATCCAGTGACCCTGACTTTCTAGCTGTCCCTTGAACAAGACCCTCCATCTTCAGACCCTAGGAACTTTTACCAGTGTCTCCCGTGCTTGGAATGTTCTTCCTCCTCACCTTGGCCTTATGACTTTTCAGGCTTCCTTCAAGTCTTAACTAAAATCCTGCCATTGACAAGAAGCCTTCCCAGTCCTCGTTACTCTCATTTCCATTCCTCTGAATTTATGCAGTCTTTATTTTGGTGGTAAATAGTTTTTCCATGTTCTCTCTGAATTAAACTGTGAGCTTACTTATGAGTGGGGACTGTTCTTTTTTGTTTTTGCCTTTCATCGTATCCCCCTATGCTCAGCCTAGGCACAGTGCCTGGCACACAATAGGTACTTCACGCTTGCTGACTGTCTGCTTTAGAGTTTACTAGGTGCTTTTCCCCACACCAGTTTTATTATCTTGATTTTAACAGTCAGTAAACTAATGCTCTGAGTGGTCCAAGGTCCCCCAGTGATGTGGATGTGAATGGTGCCCGAAGGGCTAAAAGAATATTGAAGATTGTTTTTATAGTACCTTGGGAGGCCTCTCCTGAGCTTGGGTCCTAAAGTCTCCTCCCCTTATTCTGAGATACCATAAAACTTCTCCTTATCCTGGACCATAAAATTCCTTATCTCTCTCATCCTGAATCATAAAATTTCCTCTCTCTTCCTTATCCTGAGTCCCCTGTCTTGTCATTCGTCTTCTTCATCTTGTGTCATGACAGCTCCCCCTTATCTTATAAGCAGCCATCTTCCTGATTCTGCCTTATAAAAACAAGCCCCTGTCCCTCTGTAAATTGATAATCCTTCTTCCAGGGATAGCCCCCTGCTTTTGCGGCAATAAAGCTCCCCTTGGTTGAGAAAGTCGTCCAAGTGAATTTTTTCACACTTGAACCGCTCTCCTAAATCTGAACCTCAACGCCAGAGAATAAGCGTGGCATCTTTGCTATAGCTCTCAGTCTCCCTGGGCCAATGTAGAGCTTTCTGTCACCTCCCAATTGCTCTTACTCTATTCTCACTTGTCGGAGGAGAACAGTGGAAAGGTCTGCCACTCAGGTGATGGAGATATTTATACCTTAGCCCATACTGAATCTGCTGGGCCACACTAACTCTCTCATTCCATACTTTTAGATGGCGTTAACGGGGATAAGGCCACCTACCTGTTGGGTCCTGTTGGGGTCGTCCAATTGATGGGGTCAGAGCAACCTGAGAAAGGAACCTTTAGTCAGCCAGCCTTCTGTAGGTAGGTGTGAAGGCAAATGGGGGAGGCCTTGGCTAGACTAGGCTGAACCCAAGCAGGTGACAGGAAATACCTAGCTACAGACCCCTTCATCCCATGCCCTGCGATCACCAACCACCCCAGAAGATGCTGCAAATGGAAACATCCTAAAACATCTTAGTTTCACTTCCTGAAAGGGATTCCCTGGGGGACCCTGGGGAACTGTGCTAGGCCTGAATTAGAAGATCTTTGAAGTCCCCACCCAGGGGGCAGGTGTAGAATGAGGGCTCTGAAGGGTGAAAGGACTTGTGGGAATCCCCAGCAATTTGGTAATGGCTTCTGTAGGATGCCACCTTTACCTTTCGTTTTATTTTATTTTTAATTTTTTTTTGTGAGGCAATTGGGGTTAAGTGTTACACAGCTAGTAAGTGTTATGTGTCTGAGGCCATATTTGAACTCAGGTCCTCCTGACTCCAGGGCCGGTGCTCTATCCACTACACTTTCACCTTTTATTTCATTTTGGTGGGGGACTGGGGAGGAAGTATCTCTGCAGTTAGGATCCAAGGGGAGTATGTATTGGAGCTCTCTTTAGAAATTTGTTACAAATCTGGACTCATTTTTTTTTTGTTTTGTTGATTGTCCAGACTTTAGAAAGTGTTGGAGAAAATGTGAATAATGCACATTTAACTCAAAGGTCTTGCTTGCAATTCCCCCAGATAGCATGTTGTTAAACATTTATTAGCACACTCCTGTCAAAGGATCTTCAGACCCACAAAGGTTTTTCATTATTAGAAAAAAAAAGATTAGTGTATGACTCGTTCTGCTTTTCTTCCTTGGGTTTCACATAACGAGCAATCTTGTATCTCCATGTTCTTACCTTTCAGGAGGGTAGAGTCATTCAGTTCAGTTCAACAAGCATTTGATTAAGAATCATGTGAGGACCAGAGATTTTTATTTTAACCAGCCTTATGAGTTCACTGGAATAGGGAACTTCCAGTGAGGACATTGCTTTTATGCATGTGTGTGTGTGTGTGTGTGTGTGTGCGTGTGCGCGTGCGCTCCATGTCTTGGGCCTGCACTTAACTCTCTGCTCTGAGGGCTGGGATCATGTCTTCTCAAAACTTCCCCAGTTCCTACTTTTCATGGGACGTTACGTGGTGCAGACTGATAAAGATGCAATCAGTGAACTCCTTTATGCTCCGCTTCCCACATTTAATGGTATCTCAGGCATAATGATTTCCATATCAGTAAGCCACTGATCAATATGTATGATATGTTATAAATAATATAGTTAATTTATTAACTGTGGTGTAATAATTTAGTAGTGTCTTAAATTTAGTGTACGTATACTATATTCAGTGCTCATAGTGAGATGTCACATTCCAGTCACTCTCTGGACAATTTTAGGCTTCAGTCAAGTTAAACATAATAGACATTTACTAGTCAAGTATTGATTATGATTTATTTGTTCATAAAGCACTTTACTAAATGCAAATAACTTTGCTGGGTGGTCAGGCTATAAAAACAGAAACAACTCAGCCCTGCCCTCCAGGAGTTTGCATCTGGTGAGTGGGGGTAGGTGGCAATGGTTTGGTGATTTAGAAATATGGCCTGTACCCAGGTAAGTAAATATAAGGAATGCAGTGAAATTTGATGGAGGGGTTGCTTGCAATTGGGAATATTAGGAAAGCTTCCAGCAGGAAAAGGCACCAGCTGAGGCTCTAGTGTCCTATGTGCATGTGTGCACGTGTGCATATGTGTATGTGTGTGTGTATGTGTGTGTGTGTGTGTGTGTGTGTGTGTGTGTGTGGTTGAGACCCCTGGAAAATGGCTCCCATGGGTGGAAAACCTTGGGATTACATTAGGCTGCCACTGGAGAAAGCCCAGGGAGCCCCTAAAGAAGACCAAGATTTAGAGAGGTAAGACAGAGGAAGAAGTAAATTCCAGTTGATGCAAATGCACTGAGGTAGGAGGAGGAATGTTGATTTCTGGGTAACTGCAGCCAGTTCAGTTTGGTTAGATCAAGCAGGGCCTTTGAGTGAACGAGGTGAAGTTCAGGTTTAGAAAAGACAGGTTTAGAGTCAGACTGTGGAGGGCCTCAGATGCCCAGCAGAAAACGCATCGTATTCTAGAGGCAACAGGGAGACGCTGAACATTTTTGCAGCCCAAGTACATGAGCTAACTGTGCCTTGTTCATCTGGCAGCTGTAAAGTAAGAAATGGGAAGCAGAGAAGGTTCAGAAGATCTGAAGGTAATTTAGACAAGGGAGCGGAAGGACTAAATTAGGGTAGAGTATTTTCTGGCCAGGTGCCTTGTCCAGATCACTCAGTGAAGTGCCAGAGGGGCGACTCAGCCCCAGCCCGCCTCCCTGGTGAAAGAGGTGAAGGAGGGAAAAACAACGCTGAGATTTTAAACTCAGTTTGGAAAGCTGGTAATACCCTCAACAGACCTTGGGACATGTGGAGGAGGAGCAGCTTTAGATGTGGGAAGGTAGTCACTTCTGTGTTGGACATTTTTATATTAAGGTCCTAATGGCTCCAATGAGCCAACATACTGAAACTTTAAGGATGCAGCTAAAGCGTTTTATATCTCTATATCTCTAAAATTTTATAACTCTTTAATCAACAAAAGAGAAAAAGGGCAAATCAATAAATTCGACATGCAACTAAAAAAGTGACAAAAATGGAAAAACTGTTAATTTAATTGTTAATATAATGACTGAAATTTGTTAATACTGATTGTAATATGGACTGCCTAAACCTCTTATCCTGACAATGCCAAAATTCTTGTAATGTCCTTATGAGGGGGATGGGACCTCGACCCCTAAAAGGAAAAGACCACGTCTTTGAAAGTAACCCGGGTGCTGAATTTTCCCACACATTTCAGTAGCTTAACTAGAGAAAATTGGCTCCCCAATTTTACCATCACTTATGATTATACTCTTAAGATATTTACCCTTATCCTTGTCCTTCCTGGGGTTTACTGGCTAGATTTCTTTCTCAGAGACCAAACCTTAAATCCAACTCACTCTGGATCTCTTGGATTGGACAACAATAGGTCCCTACTCAAGCATCACTTAATGGTTTTTTTTTTTTGGGCCCTCCTTGCTCAGAGTGAATGTAAATAGTAACTGTTTCTCTTTCGGCCAGCAACTCTGAGGGTCTTCCCCTCTCAATTTGATTTTTTTAAAAAATTTTTTTATTAAAGGATCCATCATTTAACTCACTTCTTAAAGAGGCCTATTCACTGAAGAGGCGTTGCCTCACTCAAAGTGAGAACCTGAAAAGACATAGCTTAAAAGGGCCAAGGTCATCTGCAGTCTGCAGTCATCCTGACCTATATCTGGCCACTGGACCCAGATGGCTGTGGAGGAGAAAGTGAGGCTGGTGACCTTGCACAGCCTTCCCTCACTCAAATCAAAGTCATTTGTAAGTCATGTCATTTTCTCCCTGATATCATGGTCTAGTAGCCAAATTGATTTGAAAAAGATTCCAGAAAGGGGTTGAGGTGGGGGTGGTGTTAATGTGAATTTGTACCTTGTACCCAACTCCCCCCAACTCCCTTTCAGCTACCTTTTGTGTATTGTCTTCTTTTAGATTGTAAGCTCTTTGAGGGCAGGGACTAGACTTCTTTTGTGTATTCGTATCCCCTGCACTTAGCACTGTGCCAGGTACTTATTAGACACTTAATAAATGTTTGTTGACTATTGATTATTGACTATATCTAAGATCTGTTGTGAATCAATCCAAACATACAAGCAAGAGCCATTCCTCAATATGTAAATGGTCAAAGGATATAAACAAACAGTCCTCAAAATAAGAAAGGCAAACTATCGACAACCATATATAAAAATGCTCCAAATCAGAGAAACATAAATTAAAAGTATTCTGAGGTTTTACCTGATGCCCATCAGATTGACAAAGTGACAAAAAATGTGAAAAAACCATTTTTGAGGCACTCTGATAAGATACAAAATCAGTCAGTCAGCATTTATTAAGGGCCTACTATATGCCATCCACTGTGCTAAGTGCTGGGGATACAAGAAAAGGGGGGAGAAACTAGGACTGGTGTAGCTAGAATTCTATAAAGAAATGTGTAGCTATACCCTAAAGTATGCCTGCACTACGCATACCCTTTTGATGCCACTACTAGACTCAATTACCAAAGAGAGCAAAGAAAGAGGAAAAGGGCCTCTAAGTATAAAAATATATGTTTGTATATTATACCTTTTGTCAGAGCAAAGAATTATAAATACAAATGATGCTCATCAGTTGGGGAGTGGCTGAGCCAATTATGACATATATATGTTATAGGGCATTAATGTACTATAAGAAATAAAGAATTGGACTCATAAATACCTGAGAGAGTTTGTCTGAACTCATGTGGAAAGAAGTGAGCAGAACCAGGAGATCAATTTATACAGTGGCAACAACGTTAGAAATCTAACCAAGGAAAACAGCTTTGAAACATTTAAAATTAATGCAGTGACTAATCATGGCTTCAGAAGACTGATGGTAAATTATACTTCCTACTTCTTGGCAGAGAGGTGATGGTCTAGAAATGTAGAAGGACAAATGATAAGATAATATAAGGGTTTGTTTTGTGGGACTGTGACAATTTGTTAGAAGTGAGTGCCTTTGTCTGTCTATCTATCTGTTTATTCATTCATTCATTTTTAAGGGAAGGAGGATTGAAGGAGTAGGATATGGTCAGTAACACTAAAAGGAAGAAAAGAAAGAAAAGAGCATGAATAAATTTTTAAAAAATACACTGAAGAGTTGGAGCAAGTACAGAAGGGTTCAAAAATAAGCAGGGCGGTATTGAAACTACCATTTAAATTGGAAATATACTTTAAAAAACCAAACTCCATGTAGTGGAAATTTACAATTTCATATGCAGACCTTTTTTTTTTTTTTGTCTTGTTCTTTATATTGGAAAATTTTCATGACTGTCAAGTTTATAATAATAAAAAGGAAAGTTTTTTTTGGTGAAAAGTGACATTGCCAGGAGCAGTACGGGTACCCTAAATTCTGTAGGAATGTGGCTGCTGTATTGAAACAGGGAGAGCGTGGATGCAGAGAGGCTGAGTAGGAGGCTGTTAT